GGGGGGGGTCTAAGTGGCCTGCCCATAGAACGCACCAGAAATTATGTCAAAACTTCGACATTCACCCCCAAAACAGTCAATTTAAGTTAACTATAGTTGTGAGAATTCTTAGGCAGTCAACTAAAAAGGAAATTAACCGATGTTGTACAATCATCAATATTATTATTCATAGTTACCTCCCTTTACCTACTGCTTTGAGCCAAAATACCCAAAATACCCGAATAAGACTTCGTGCAGAATCGTTAATCTGCGATTTCAAATTGTTGCATAGAATCTACGATATTTACCCACTGATACCCATTCCGTCTTGGCTGATACTACCTCTCCGACACAAATAGAATCCATCGCCTCCTTAACACAAATTATGTCAAATTTTAATGATCTCAACTTTTACTCAAACGTTTCCGTAAGAAAAAAACAAGGCTATACTATGGCAGTGAGTGATCGAAAAATTAAGACTAGATTCTAGATCTTATCTAGATATCTAGAACTTTATTTATATTAGCCAAGTCTTCAGTTGACAACGTCACTCACAATGTGGAATGTGAAGTGTATAAAATAACTAGGACCGCTAGGACCGAAAGCAATAAACTACTTCGGTACGAATGTCAATCTTTAGTAAAAGGAACAAAAAGCGTACTGTTTCTGTTCTTTTATTGAAAAGAACGCCATCGTGGTTTGTTTACCTTTACTCCGAACGATGTGCGTAAATGATCGTCACATTTCATAAACCGGTAACCTGTTGTAAAACATGAACGCAATTAATAACTCAGGCATCGCCGTGTTATCTCGGCTGGCGACGGAATGTTTGCGTCGACAGGCCACAAGTAGATATAGTTCTCGACATATTATGAGAGTTTCAGTGGTGAGTAGATCTAGATCTAGTGTAGTGAGTACTGACAGTCTTCCTCCTGGTACTTGGACTTGATGACTTGTTGATGAGTATGAGTAGTTTGAATCGGCGCTGGTGAGAATATAACCCCCCCCCCCCCCCCCTTGGACATCAACAGTGGTGTAGAGTCTAGATTCTAGATCTAGATCTATATTATTTTTTTGTAAGTGGCTATCCGTACGGCCCTCCCGTACGCATTGCATCGAAGCTAGATTTATATATATATATATATGATGGCCCTCAACTTCACATAGGGCTTTGTGTAGGTGGCGCATAAACTATCAAACCGGACACTACAAGTGGACAAACTTAAAACCTGGAAGTGCGTAAGCCCTTTATAAAGGGCGTGCGCCAGGCTACCCGGGAAGCACGCTGGTCATATATATAGGGATTCACCTAGATTCTACTTCGATTGGGAAGCACGCAGCATAATAAAGGGCATAGACGCTGACCTTTTTTCAATTGAAAATTTTAGCATTCCTTATACGGAAAATGACGTAGTAAATTACAGGTCAAAGTTATAAATAGTGACCAATGGCTTTGCAAGTTATCTTGAACTCTTAGAGCGTCTCTTGGCCAAAGATCATATAACAAAATAGTTCACTCAGCCAAAAAGCTGTCCGCGGAAGTCTGCACATTGGTTCAGATGACGCTGCAGTCTTTGTTTTGAATTTTGAAGCTCTCTTTCGTTTCACCAGAAGAAGAATAGGAATAGCACAGTTTGTTAATTTCACTTTAATTATATTTTCACACAAGAAGGGTAACTCTGATTCTGATCGCAAAGTCCCCACTTTTTAAAATATTGAGGACACTTTTTTTAAAAATAAGCTCAATTATAGAGGATTTAACTATCTTGTTATAACGATCTTTGTCTTGGCCAAGATATCGATCGATAAAGTGACGCGGTCCATCTGAGCGATTATCAAGGCCATGAGCATATATAATACTTCTATCTAAATTCTAAATCTAAGGGCCGCACGGGAGGGAGGGCCGTACGCATAGCCACGATGCTATGTGTACGGGAGGGAGGGCCGTGCGCATAGCCACAGGCATTTTTTAAATGTAACAGTTCGACCTGCTTTAAGCGTTCCATCCCGTTAGATGAAGGAACGCTCCAGGGATGCCACTTTTCCGCTTTTTTCCAGTATTTTGGTCCTGATCCGCTATTCCGTTATTGAGATCGAGATAGAATCTATAGTTGAAAAAAAAAAAAACCACCCATGCACACTCAACAACTTGCGCAAATGTTCAAATAACGGAAAAATGAAGACTTTGCCATAAAAGTTCAAATAACGGGGAGAAAAAAAACGGGGAAGATTTGCGCTAATCTCAGCAAGTCGGGAAAACACACGCCAGGCAAATTGATATTCATGTCCCAGGAGCACTCTTACAGAATTAAAGTCGGGATGGGATGTGGAAAAAACTACGCAAAATGTTACTTTTTGTAACAGATAGGCTTACTGCTATCCTATAGGTATGTGATCATCTTAACCAGATCTTTGCTAAATTAAATCTTTAATGAACAACAAATAGAATAGTAATACTGTAAAAAAAACATTTTTCGCCTCTCCAGTAAAAAATATGTCTCACTACCAACGCTACTGCGCAGGATGTGGGACCTGCCACCAGCCAAACCATTCGTTGTTTACGTACTTAAAGATGACAAGCCTCTCTGCCTACACACAATAAATTATGGTTCAAGTTCAAGGAACAGAGAGTGTGTACAAACGTAACGAGACTTGAGCTCGAGACTTATACTCGTGCACAACTGTAGAAGGGTTGTAAATTATTCAGAGACCAAATGGGCGAGGATGTTAAATCATGTTGACTAGTTTAATTAAGCAATTCAAGCTCTTTTCTTCACTTTCATATTTTTTCTTTTTTTCTCTTTTTCTTTTTTTCTTGCCTCTTAATTCTTTCCACTTCTTCTTGTACATTTAGAGTTTGGAGCCAAAAAAGAGCCAGAGAGCCAAATGAAATTCTCCGGGCCAGACGCTATCCTAAAGAGCCAAATTTCTGGGATTTGGCTCCAAACTGACAACCCTGACTGACTATTCGGACATGAACACGATCCTGTGGAGCATCAGCCCCGGTAGCCTCAGCCCTGATCCCTCTAGTGTCTTTTCCGGTAAAACTAGGGGGTGGGAATAGCGAGACATAGGCCAGTTCCCTTATTTGGGCCTAGATCTAGATCTAGATGTATAGATCTATATGTTTGATTTGCGGCGAGCGATAGATATCAAACCTAATAACTGCAAAACATCAAATTATGGTAAAATTCAGCCCCCCCCCCACCATATTTTCATTACCTCGGTTGGGGCCAAAACTGGCAAATAATAATTGGGGGGTGGGAACTACCGGAAAAGCGCCCTTGAGTTTTAGACTAGTCCTACATCTAGTCCTTGTCTTCGTATACTATATTTGTGAAAGTTCTTCACTTTGGTTGCCTAAAACTCCCAAACCACTTTACTTTCGAATTTGAAAAAGTTATCGGTGGTTCAGAATCATTTAATGGGTGCACAGTTATATAATTAAGGAGTCTGAATTCTCGCTGTAGTTTAATTTTCAGTTTTTCATTAGTTTTGTTTAAGTCTAATCTTGGGAAAATCCGTCTTTTAAGATGCCATTGTAAACAAGTGAGGCTTTCGTTTGCAAGCAGTGCACACTGGTTCCACAATGACTTGGCGATCTTACTTACGGTACTACTTAAGAATGTGGGTCCAGTCTGTTTAGGCTTGGCATCATCCGCTCTGTTGACACAAAGTACTGGATATCGATACTGACTTAAATATTCGGTATCGATGCTTTATCCCAACGAGCGCGAGAGATGCACTGTTATTTTTCAGTAGCCTACAAAGTGAGCAGTAAAATTTCACGTGTTTAATAACGGGGGTTTCAGGGGGGCTTGCAATTAAGTTTGATATCTCTCCATATCGGCACACGCATTGAAAAGTAATTGTTTAGAACCAGAAGTAATCGTCGGTGGAGCCAAAACCCGCACTCCATAGTTATCGTTAAATGGGACCCACATTCCCCTTAAGTGCAGTAGTACCTTACTTACTTGGGTGGAGAATTGGCATTATTGCATGCGGCATAATGCCATAGCTGCTCCTCTCTCCTCTCCAGGATCCATGAAAGTGTCTGCTTGCTGATTGTGCCAGTTGTCAGCTGGTTGACAATCCAATCAATTCTTTTGAGTCCGTTGTGGGTGGTTTGCGGGTGCTCTGGTGTGGTTTGCTCCTTCTTTCCTATAAAAATTCTATCGTCTCTTTCTCCCCTCCTTCTTTTTTGTGTTTGTTACTCTCTTGTAGCACCTCTAATCTTTGGCACTTAAACTTAAATGACCTTATTGTGCTGCAAGTGCCGTAAAACTATTACTAAAACTAAAACTGAGTCTGTTCATCAAACAGGTTCCCAGCTAGTCTCCTATAATATTGAATTGGTATTCTCTGTTTCTAAATCTCTTCCTCTGTCATGACAGTATCAACGCAGTTTCCTCAAAGTTAAAAAACTTAGCTTCATGTTTGACTTAATGAACGTGAAAAAGACGATAAATGAGAAGTAGATCTATCTTAGGATCCATTTTTGTAAGAACAACGGAATAAGCCTATATGAGAACTCAAGGTTGATTTGTTTGACAATTCTTATTTCCCAGTTTTTAAAGATTTGTACTTTTATATAGATCTATGACATAGAGTAGATTCGGGTAACTTCACTACTCTCATAGTTGGCTTGTAATGAATGTAAGCCTACACCCCTCTCTATGCTCAACGTACATGACCCGACTTTCGTCTGCAACTTTTCGTAGCCAATGAAAATGCAGGTAGTCCACTGATTAGTTAGCTTGCTAGTAGTACTTCACCTGCTTTTTTTTTTTTTCAAGTGAATGTGGCGACGGGGAACTTCACAATCATATTGAGGAAATTCGTCATACTGGAAGACATCTTATTTCATTATTTATATGTAGATTATTAAACACATGTATTAACTGATCTTTTGTGAAAGGGAAACCAGCATTTGCAGATGCAATCACTTTGTCAACAGTTTTATTTCTCTCTCTCTCAGCCCAAAATCAATAGACCTGTGTGTGACTATGTGGCGAAGTTCCTCGACAAGAGAGGCGAATTTCCCTAACAAACACAATTTTTTAACACACATACTATGCATACAAGTGACAATAAAATGCAGCGAATAATATTTTAATCAATACCATGAATAAAGCAGTTTTAACACAATTTGAGTAAAAAGTTATGTACAGTAACGGTAGAAAGTAGCAGACACAGAAACATGAAAATAGCACTGGCGCAGCAGGGAAAGGGCAAGAGAGGGGGAAAGGGAAGATTAGCGGGTAGACACATGCTTGAAACACTACGATTGTTCTTCGCCATAACCATTAATTTTTTTGATTGGTTGATAAATTGACAAAGAATTGTTTGAGGTTGTAAGTAACTTGACACTTTTAAACTTTTCCTTCGTTGGTATATCGGATTATTCCCATTTTAAATCGATACGGGGGAGGGGGGGGGGGGCAGGTTGCGAATTTCCCCTCCTGGCATAGTTACCCAAACCTATTCTATGACAGGCCTTAATTTTTACTTTCAGTCCTGCATGCAGATGCTTTGTTTCTGGGGGGCCTAGCGGCTGTATTTTTGGCTCATAACATATAATGGGCATGAAAACTTTTGGTGACTTTTTACTTTCACTCTTGCACACAGATGAGATGCACTGCTTGGAAGGTTTAACTGCAGTATTTTTTTCAGAAGATCACACATATAGCCACTACAACTGTTGAAAATCAATTATTTTAAAGCAATTTTTTAACTAACTTGCATAATATCAAATTCGGCCTATTGATTAAAACCTCCCGCAGATATTTTTTGTACTTCAGAGAAGCAACCCCCCCCCTCCCCCCCCCCCCCCCCTGATTGGTCCAAACCACGGAAATTACTACGCAATTAGGCTTAGTATGATATTACCTCAATCAATTAAACACCATGAAATATTTTTTAAATTATTAATTTGCCACCGAAATCAAGTCGATTTGTGTTCTGCAATTCAATATTATAGAGAACACACTGGACTCCTAGTAGCTATGCGTGAGATGGGAGGGAAAGTAAAAGAATACCATACTTCAAACAGTTACAAATCAATTGTGTCATGACGCAGTGGAATCAGGCGTTCGTCAATTTTTGGGCATATGGAGTTATTGGTATCGTCTTAAAGTAAGGTTGTTCATTTGCCTTGCTTTCGATGAAAAAAATATCCATTTATCTTAAATAGCAGTCAAGATATTTTCGATTGAAAAAGGTAGGGTCGTCCGGTTTCAAAAGTAAAATTAGTGAGAAAATGGCCGCCCAAGTTTGGTGACTTCCACAGTTTAAAAGAGTCTTTGGAAACTGCAAATTTACATTTTTGTGCTTTTAATCAATGTTTTTCCCCAAAATCCACACATAAACGTGTTTTTGAATGGACATACAAGGTGTTGAGCCAAAAAAAGAAAAATTCAAAAAAAAATCCAAACTGGCCGAAAGATTCTGATTTCGCCCATTTCATAATTTTGACGAACGCCTGAGTTCACCACGATGCCTCGCCATTGTTCTCAAGTAAATTTCAAACCTAATTTTGCAAAAAACATCAAATTATGTGGACAGGTAAATTTTTACTCTAACTCTTGCTCACAGATGCTCTGCTGTTAGGAGGTGTCCCCCCCCCCTCCCCCCGACCCCCGCAAGATTTGAAAATAAACCTGCGAAATATTACCATGGTTTGAGGCCATATAGTGCAAATAAATTAAAAGCATCAAATATACTCAAAGAGTAATAATTTGCAACTGTTTTAAAGCAAAAATTTATGTAAAACTGATGAAAAGGATAAAAAGAAAAATGCTAATCCCTGAGCATGAGACGGGAGTGAATGTAAAATAATATTTTTGGTATATTGTTCTTTTTTAGCCTGTTTTTCAAAATAAAATGGGATAGCTGACTGGAAAAATAATGCTCTCTTTTTAGAAACTTTAGTAATAGCAAGAGAGTCAAAACTCACATCCGTGCTTTAAAAATAGATAACAGACACGGTGTCTCAGCCATCAAACCATGCTATCCCAGGCATTTTGTTGTTGAGCTGATGCAAGACACACTAGTGTGCATTACCGAAGCTTTTTTGCATTCCCACTATCACTGTGTATGTAACACATGTCACATGGGTAGTGGCCTGTCATATTGTAGGTACCTGTACTGTATTTGTTCTAGCTTGATATCCTTGTCTTGGGCTACTAACCACTAAACACGTTTACGATAATCTTCAATACATGTAATCATTAAATCTTTTGATCAGCAGATAACTTTCTTCTCACATCCTCAAATGGGCATTCTGTTGTTATCCCCCCTTGGGTACTGGCAATAGGAAGACACTTCAAATAAGGACTCAGCAGAAAACAACAGGCCTGGCCAGAATGAGGAATGAGGTTATGGACTGCTTAGGAAGAAGGGGAACAAAAAAGTTTTAGTTTGTGAAATAAGGAATAATTGTAATTTCAGCACAAAGACAAGAGATGAAAGTCAAAGGTCTGTGATAAAGCGGCCTCAACCATTGTCATTAAATGTCTGTAATACCCACCAAGCCAGAATAGGAAAAGATTTATTTTTTTTATCACAAACTTCCTTTGCCAAAGCAGATTCATCTGAAGATCAACCCTTCCAGCTGATTTTATTTGTCAAATTTGAACTAATAATTTTCATAATTTTATTATGATGCTTAATCATTCAGTGCCCTGAACATTTGCAGAGCACACTTGAAACTGTCACATATATTCACTAAAATATTGCACTTTATTTTTCTGCAGAGCTTTGTGTTGTTGGGATATATCTAACTAACTCTGTATACTTTCCAGGGTGCTATCAATGGCTTCGATTTCAGCACAAAGACAAGAGATGAAAGTCAAAGGTCTATGATAAAGCAGCCTCAACCATTGTCATTAAATGTCTGTAATATCCACCAAGCCAGTCGACTCTTGTCTAGCGGATCTGATTTGCAGTAAGTAATGTCTTTTTTTGAAAATGGAATAGAATCTTTTAAAGTTGTTTTGTTTCATGTTTTCTTAGTTTATCAACCTGTACATGCTTTAATTAAAAGCCTGTGAACTCAACCATAACAGAACGCTTACGAAAATCAAAGCAGACGAATGGACAAAAACAGAGGGACAGTAAAGAAGTAATATCTGTCTGTGGTATCTCCAGCCACTCACAATTTCTTGGTTATAAGAGTGAGTAGTATATTTAAATAATTTTACATTGCCCAAGCTTGACGTTAAGCCCACAATGAGAATTGTTTTTATGATGTACATTTGTATTTAATTTGCTTCTCCATGCATTAAACAATTTTTTTGTTGTTCTCCCCCTCTCAGCCAGTGAATAAGAGTGAATTGTAATTTTATAACGATCTGCTTGTTAGCAATAAAATGTTTTGCTACTTGCACTGAAGAGACCAACTTAACTTTGAAAGGAGACAGACAATCTGGCTTAAGTGGGGAAAAAAATGTCAATACTCTTTTTTTCCCCATGTCATGAACCTTACCTGAAGCTGACTATTCGGTTCCCAATCTATCGAGATTGTTGACCAGTACTCTTTGAATGGCTTTGTCATAAATAATATGTCCATACACTTACCATGATTTCAATGTCTTCCCTTTGCCCCATGAAATCCTTCAAGTTGGAAGTATAAGTTTTTATATTGCTTTACCTAGTGTGTAAGCTGTTAGATTCTGAGTCAACATTGATATAAATTTTGCATTGAGCATATTGAATATAGTTATAATTGTCAAGATGACATTTTGAGTATGACAGTGTTTTTGATACTGCATCATCTCATTGTTTTTGTTTGCAGGCCTACAGAAGTAACAGAGATAGAGTATGAAGGATATGCAGAGGAAACTCTCGACTCCCTGTGTGATTTCTTTGAAGATCTTCCTGAGACAGAATCATGCAATGAAGATTATGACTGTGCCTTTGCAGTAAGTTACAGAGTAATAAAGAAGCAATGTGTTGTCTGATTGTTATCTAGATATCAACATTTTATGCCAGTTGCAGATTTAGTCTTTCCTTATACATGGGACACTTCCCCAGAGGTAGCAGGATTTCATTATAATACAATCAATCCTAAAAAGCGACTGACCTTTTTTAATTAAATTTTCCAAGAAAAGACTATGATATAAGCTTATCATGAGACTATCATAACTTGATAATGATCAATACCATCATTTTTTATTTAGCTGATGAGATAAAGTGATAGACTGTAATTTGAATTTTGTCAATTTTTTTTCTTCAAATTTCTGGAGAAGAATAAATTGGTGTGATTTGAGGTCGACCATTACATTTTTCTGGTTAATCTGTTATTAATATGAAATTGAAACTTCTTGTTGAAGTACTCACTAAAAAAAAAAGTCTAATGGGAAGCACCGATTCACATTTTTATGTGTTATGAGGAAAGGAGGGAAATAAAAATGCTTTTCAAAAATAAAAGTTAGAAATGTAACTCTTATCTGTAGTAGTAGTAGTAGTATGGCAAGTCTATATAATCACAGTTTTTGACTAATCGATTTCTAGGATCAGATCAGTACATTATGACTAGACCATATAGAAGCCTTATAGCCCTGTTTCCTTTGGACTAGTGTTCTCATGTCGGTGTGAAGTCATCAAGCATTGTATGAGTGGAGGGTAGCTTGACCTAGGCCAGCTAGACTTGATCATGTACACCAGAGTACATTGATGGGATGATGAGCAAGGCTTCACTTCAGTAAAGATGTTCAGTCTTTATAAAGTAGCCTTTACACTTGTTCTTCCCTCAGAGTGGTGTACTGACAGTTCATGTTGGAGGATCAGAAGGCACATATGTCATCAACAAGCAGACCCCAAACAAACAGCTGTGGCTGTCATCTCCCATCAGGTAATTAATATGCTGTTCTTCACTAGGGCTTTTAATCTTTTTTTTTGGGGGGGGGGGGTTTGGAAATCGCACCTTTATTGAATAGAATCAAACAAGGAAAAAACCCTGCATGCTCTTCTTCCACACTGTGTGTGTTGTTGATTACCACTAATTTCCTCCATTTGCAGCTAATATTGTTTGTTAAACGGATTGAAAACACTCTTGTGTAGTAGTTTTATGGGTCCAGTTTTATCTTCAAGAAATGAGAAACCACTTGTTTCTAATGGAGTGAAGTTGTCTTGTGCATCGATGTATAACTTGTATATGGAGCAATGACAGTGGCAATGGTTAACGATTTGTTGATTGTATTTTGGCATGTGCCAGTTATTTAGAGAAGACAAGATTTTCAATACTTTCATTACCTTAAATTTTGCTTTGACTTTAAGAGTTTAACTTCTTACCTTATAATATTGATATAGTTTCCGATATTGTTAGAGTCTTTATAAAAGGCGTATTAAGTCTTGAACTCGTCTTATTAGAGTCCATTGTATAATTTTGGCTTTTTTCTTTTTGTCTTCATGTTATTATATCTGGTTATTGCTTGCTTGCAGTGGTCCAAAAAGATATGATTACTGCAATGGACAATGGCTGTACCTCAGAGATGGAACTGGACTGCACAAACTCCTGGAGGTGGAGTTGTCAGACATCATGAACCTCAAAATCAACTTGTCAAAATGCAAATTTTACTCAGGATGAAACAAATGCCTTTACTATGTTGTTTTGTTTTTGGGGTTTTTTCTTAGCTCTTATTTATGTAGTCATAAACTATGTCCTTCCATATTCTGAGGCTTCATATGTCAATTTTTATGTTATTTTTGTTGTTACTGTGTTTATTCAAGCAAGATATTCAAGCAGTAAGTTTTAATTTAGATGTCCCCTCTAAACTGGTACTTTCTGGGTATCTTTAATGTTTGATTTTGAATCAATATTTTTATGAAAGGACTTGTAGTGTAAAATATTCAAATACAGTCGAGTTGGAAAGGATAGTTTACTGTGTGTTATATTCATTTGTTTTTGCTTTCTGTTCTGTCAAATGACCTGTTGCTGTTTTTGTTTATTGTTATTTTTTTTCTAATATTGTTTCAGTTGAATCTCACCTTGTGACACCCACTCTAGTTTCTTACCTTTTTCTCAAGAACGTCATTGAGTTTGTACAATGATTGTTTGTTCATTGCTGTGAATGAAGTATAGGAGTAAAGACTTGTCATGGTAAACACGAAAAGTCTTGTTTATTTTTTTGCAATTCTATTCATGTCTCAATCTTTTATTTATTACATTTTGACTACTTTGTCTAAATGTGGTTATTCAAAAAAATGTGTGGACATAGATAACTCTTTTTGTTTTTATGATGTGTTTTCATCAGATTCCCCTGTGTCTTATTTCTTTTTTCCTTTCAATTTTTATTTTCTTTATTACTATAGAAGTAGAAGCATATTTCATAAAGTCCGAAGATGTTTGGGGGTCACATAATACTCACTGTTCCAATTTGCTGCTGCTCTGTTCACGGTGACTTCTCTGAGATCTCAAAAAAGTTAAATCGGGGGCTATTTCTACTGACTAAATGTATTGATATGTTTTAATATCTTTTGTATTCTGTCTGCACTATTCAATTTGTTTCCTACATGGCCAGTGTATTATTGACTGTATTCATTCCTTTGCATGGTCCCTTTAGCCCTTGACGTTACTGTGTTCACGTCATTCTTTCCATAAAGGGCTTATAAGCTTAATGTCTGGTGATAGAGAGTAGTACCATTGACATTTCATTTTTCTTATTACGAACCATGGCATTGCCAGGTCTTGAGTTTGGTTTTGGGATTAGTTCCATGTAGGATTGACTCTGCCTTTACTTTCGATATCAGTTTCACCCTGTCTAGTGTCTCACTCCGAAAAATAGTACACCTATATGCTCGTTTTACTCTTCTTCTTTTTTTTTAATTTGCAGATACTCAGTGTGAAACATTACTGATTATCTAAACTGAGGAAAGATGTTGTATGTAACTTATGCAAAGATGATTTTCTTAGGATTTCACTGCACTGCAGTCTTGCCTTTTTATTTAGAGTGACTAAGTAATAAGTTGCAGTTGAATTTTTCTGCCATATTCGTCACCCTACTTGAATTAATATTGGATTGGGTTTGTTTGTTTTTTGTTGGGTTTTTTTTTTGTGATCCTTAATGGTGGATTTTGTATGTATGTATTTCAGTACAAAGTGATGCTATGTTATGAAAACAGTCAAGCCATAGAAGCTTCAGACTTTATCATTGGTGAAGAGGTCTCAGAAGGGTATTGATTGGGGAGAGTAAGGTGGTGTGGAGACGTCAGCTGTAACACAACTATTTTTATGAAGTTTGACGTTTGAAGTCTTTTTCAGCATCTATGTTTCCTCATGCATGTTTCGTTTTATTGAGCACTCCATACAGCACAATGGTGTTAGTGGGAAGAGGAGTTTTCCCTCTTGCAACCTTTCTCTCTTACATGTCTGTTGGTTTGAAGCCAACAAATCTTTTTTGTGTTGGAGCAAATGTTTGTGTGCAGTCAACCAATACATGGAAAGGTATCAGTGGAGATACATTGTTGCATGAATATTGTTCCCAACTGTCAATAATGCTTGTTTAAAATAACACATGATCATGAGATGTATTTAACTTGAATTTCACTCAATCTACTTTCCTCAATTGTAATACACATCACATATGGCCAGCAAACACAGTTTATTATGAAGATATAATACCACCTGTAGGGTTTCTTGTTTTTTGGAGATACATTGTTGCATGAATATTGTTCCCAACTGTCAATAATGCTTGTTTAAAATAACACATGATCATGAGGTGTATTTAACTTGAATTTCACTCAATCTACTTTCCTCAATTGTAAAACACATCACATATGGCCAGCAAACACAGTTTATTATGAAGATATAATACCACCTGTAGGGTTTCTTGTTTTTTTTAATGCTGTCAAACCTTGTAATACTGCCCCTGTTATACTGCCAGATCCACTGACCACCAGTTTTTGCCAATGCACGAAAAGGAAGGCCTATATGAATATATTATTTGCCCCTTTAAACTGCCGTCTGCCAATTGTCCGAGTTGTACCATCCTTACTAAACTAATGTCAATTTTGCCCTGCAACACGCCAGCAAGCTAGCTGCCAGAGGTACACATAACATAGCTCTCTCTCTGCAGCTGCTTTGTGATAATCTCCTTTTCTTCCAAATATGACTCTGAAAGCTAGTGCTTATAGCTAATTTGCTCCCTCCCCATCCATCCCACCTCCCCAACCTTGTCATGAAGATTTCAGACTGCATGTGTTTGAGAAAAAGCCTTGATCATTAAGTAATGTGCTTTTCAATTTTAATTTTTTCTCACACACACACACACACACACACACACACACACACACATGCACAAGCACACACACACACACACACACACACACACACACACACACACACACACACACACACACACACACACACACACACATGCACACACACACACACACACACAAACTCGTGCGTGCGCGCATATGCACAATTGCAGAGAGAGAGTGAATGAGAAAGAGAGAGAGAGAGAGAGAGAGAGAGACTTGAAAACTCTTCTTAATACGTGCAATTAACCTCCCCCCCCCTAAAAAAAAGAAGACACTTTTCAAACACAGAACACACAGCAGAATCATTTCCCTTGATGTTGGACAATGAAGGATATTTAACAGAGGGCAGTGTTATTAGAACTCCATTATACCGCCAGCCCCTTTTATCATAAGCCCCATGCTTGTTCTAAGGTTGGTGATATAATGAGGTTTGACTGTACTCTGCTAAATGGTTGCAACTTGAATTTCAATGTTGAAACTGTGTATCTTAAGTGTATGCACTTTCATGTAGTAGCACATAGCCTTATTTTATTGTCTTTCTGCCTGTAGCCTGTGAGTTATTAATGAAAATGGGTTCTGTTCCTTCTTTTTCCTAGTAAGTTTTTGTAACATAAAGTATATTTTTGTTTATGATACATGGTTCGTACTACAAGGAAATGCACAGTTTAAAAGGATCTTCTCCAGGTGGCACCGGTGAAATTGTTTTTCATTTCAAATCAAAAATAGTATGTCAAGAACTTAAATCAGAGAGTAAAACCTATTTGTACTTAGTATGAATATATTATGTAATGTTGAGAGCTTTAAAAAGCTGTTTGTCAGTTGCTGTGAGACAGAGAAAAGTACATTTGATTCAGAGAGAAAGTGACTGTCTGTATCTAAAATGGAAACTTGTATGATCAGTCTAAAAACTAACTACGAGCCATGCCTCAACAAAGTGTGTGCAAACTGACGGACTTCCCCTGATAAGTAATATTCCCTATGTTCTCATTAATGCTCAGACAGCTTTATTTTCCTGTGCTATTTGTTTGCATTGGGCTGTTTACTGTTGTTAGTAAGAGTTAGTGGTCCAGCGGCAGTGACTCATACTCATGGGACCCGCTTTTATAAAATAGTTTGGACCTCATCCAAGATGTCATGGGTTGATTGAACCTCCATGAAATGTGTCACGACACGATGGAACCAGTCATCGTCAGTTTTTGGGCATGTTATAGAGTTATTGATATAATATTAAGGCCTGTTCATTTGCCTTGCTTTTGATTTAAAAAATACCCATCTATCTTGAATAGAAATTGAGATATTTCTGATTGAAAGAGGTAAGGGGGGGGGGGGGGGGGGGGAGTCACTTAGTGTCAAAAATAATTTGTCTTTGATCAATTTTTTTTCTGTGAAATCCACCTAGAAATGTGTTTTTCAAATGGACATAAAGGGTGTTCACAAAAAAACAAAAAAGAAGAATTGCCCAATGGCCGGAAAAATGCCAGTTTCTTTGATTTCAGTTTTATGATGAATGCCTGATTTCACTACGATGCAATGCAAATGCAAGAATCTGTCTGTTAGTGTGGATTCTCTTGAGCATAGGCAAAGATTGTACCACCCATCTTTCAAGCTACTTTTTCTCATCTGTTATAGCTTTTCCTGCTGTACTGTTCAAAAGGGCGTACCCAGTATCTTTTATGTTCAGCCCTTGACATTCTTTTTTTCTTCAAACTGCATTAAGTCACATTCAGTAAGTGTAACAGTGTGTGTTATGAATGTAGGTGCACCAAACACGCACTCTTTCCAGAAAACATTTTTGTTTACACATTATATAAACATATAGGCCTACCTGCTCTGTAATCACAGTATAGGTAAACTCTGTGACTTCACAGTCAATAGCTACTGGGGAGTTGCTAATCTTGTGCCTCTCTTTGTTTGTTGGTTGCAGCATATTTTTGCTCCATGGGACTTTCATGGAGTATCATATCTTAGTCTTTCTGCAGAGATGCTGTGCTTGTATCCCATTCTGCGCAGATTGAAGCAGCCAGCCTGCAAAAAGATCTACATTGTGCTGATGGGTGCATAAAACTTTAAACTACTATAAATTGATGAGTACACAACTCGAAAATGCAGTGCATTTTCATGAAAAAAGTATGTTGAATTTTTTTCTACCCAGACACTGTGCAATTTGTATCAATGAAAATTGTGTGCCATGCTTCATGTGTAGCCTCTGTTTTGCAAAATAAGATTACCTCAAATAGGTGTTTTGTTCATGAGTTATTTGACTCTTTATGCGTCTGTCTTTACTTTTTTCATTTAATTGATAAACGAAGCAGTATGATAATATTGTTCCTTACATGCCTCGGTTAACAAAATGCTGGTTTAGAAGAACAAGTTAGTTATAATTGCTTTGTTTGAATTCGAGTCAGTTCTTTATGCTCTTTGCAAATGTTTAAAGTCTCCATGCTATTTATCGATTTTAATTTGGAGGGTGCTGGAGGGAGAGTGAGGGTATGAGTTGTTTGAGCTACTTTTTCTTTTCAAAAGCTGTTTTCATGGATTACGTTGATATTTTTTGGGGTCATGTTTGTTTATTGTATTTCATGGCAGTAAAGTAGACAGGACAGTTGTTTGGTATTGCAAAAGTGAAATTACTGTTAGTCATGTGAGAAGGCATTGTTTTTCCAATTCAGGTTGGCCTCTATGTCTAAACTTTTAAGTGAATGGGTGTTTAAAGATGCTTTTTAAGGATAGGAAAGTCAGCCAGCTTGAAGTGTAAATACTGTCTCAGAAAGCTTGTTTTAAGGTCTTGGTCTAAATTATCGAAGTCTTTTTTATCAGTTGTAATATAGTGATTATTATTCTATTGTGCCACAAAAATGTTACAGGCTATTACTGGGCCAGGGCCACAACTCTTTATTAATAGTTGGGAAACTCTTACCATTTTGTCTATTTATTTTGAAAAAGGCAATGGCGTTTAAAAAATTATAATTAACTTTTTTGGTGTGCACGTACACCATGAGTATGTAAGATTTTCTTTTACAATGCTTTTTTTCCCATTAGAAGTGACTTCTACTACTTGCCCTTTTATGGGGGGGGGGGGGGGGGTGTTGAATTAGACTTTTATGCATAATTGAAATCTATGCAATTTTTTTTTCTTTTATCCTACATATAATATAAGGTTTCCAACAATACAATGATTTCTTTCAATGTCAATATTCATGTCTGTACCCTTACGATGGCAGAGCGGTTAGTGCGCTCGTCTCCGAAGTCGGGCACATATTTTTTGTGCCCCCTCCTGCCTACCCAGCAGTAATGGGTACCTGACTTCGAGTAGGGGAAGTAAAGGCGGCATGGAAAGGAACTGGCCGCCCCACCACAATATGCCGAAGCTGTCTCACTAACAAGGCAACCCCCAATGTCCGGATCGGATGCTGGAACAGCTTTACTTTTCCCTACCACAATATTCCGAAAGGCCCAGGAAGTTGTCTCACTAACAAGGCAATCCCCAATGTCTAGACTGGATGCGGGAACAACTTTTTTTTACCCTTGTGGATGATTCACCCTGACTTGCATTCTGAAAACTTTCCCTGTCTCGGGTCAGTTTGCTGCTCTTGTTTTCAGTGTCATGAGTATGTCTTTCTTCCAACACAGCTTTGATCTTCTGCTGACTATTTACTATACCCCTTTTGTTAGGTTAGTTTAGAGATTATATCAAATTTTTGTTTTTGAGCTCAACATCTTCAACATGAGCTCCATTTAACAACACATTTGAAGACCTGAGAACAAGACTGTGTTTAAGTTCAAATTGACAAATAATGAGTTCTTGGTATCTATAAATAGAGAAGACTTTCTCACAACTACTGGTAGTGCACACTTGACACTTAACTGTTAACGGTGTAGCGGAAAAAATGGCCAAAAATGCAGCTAATTCCAGAGTAAATGTAGTCCCAAGTCCATGGTTTTTGCCATTTTTCTCTTTTCAGCAAAACTTAAATTAGGGGCAGTCTTTTTTTTCAGGTCTTCATTTCTGTGTGAATTTTACTGAAGGCCTGCATATTTTCAGTTTCCAAGGACTTTTAAGCTTTGGAAGTTACAAAACTTTGGCGACCATTTTCTTGCTAATTTTACCTATGAAACCAGGTGACCCCCTCCTCCTTCAATCACAAATATCTCAACATCTGCTTGAGATAGATGGGTACTTTTTCATCTAAATATGAAATATGAGCAAGACAAATGAACAAGCTTTCAGATGATACCAATATTTCCACTTGCAAAAAGCTGACGAGCACCTGATTCCATCAGGCCGTGACACATTTGTTATTCCTTTCATAATTGTTTCAAATCTTTGGAAAACTTCAGCTTTTGCTTATTATTTTTGAATATTTTCCTTTAAGTTCTTCACATTCTGACTGTCTGATTCAGTCCTTCTCACAATGCAGAGGAAAGTTTCAGGAAAAGTTAAGATTGTTTGCAATTTTCAATAACAGCAAATTGTATGGCTAACCCC